TATGATTCAATTTCTAGAAACACATAGAAATCCAATGACAACACAATGTAGTCAATGATAACATGTGCTGCTATGCGGCGTACAGTCCATGTGAAATGTTTGTAGACTTGGATACGTTGTAATCAATGATAATCAATGCGATTGTCTCCACAGCGATGCGTCGCTATATAGCGTGACATAATATGCTGTTCATAGACAGCGTCACGCGCAGTACAGCGGCAGTAGTGATGCGCTGAGTGAATGGCATTGCGTTCGCATTGTATTAAATCAAGTGATTCGGGGGGCTATTTGGGGGCTAAAATACGACTATTAAACACTATAACGTTATTTACTAACAGTCACTCAAAGTCATTGCAAAATTGCCAAAAAATTAAATCAAAACAAAACCACATTTTTGGCCACCAATTGATCCCAAGATCGCCGTCAAAGAGACCACTGATTGGCTATGACTTATTGGAGAACAGCGGGCGTTACGTAAGCACACCATTATTGTCTTGCATAAGGTATTAATGACTGAATCTGATCCCAAATACACAGATATCTGCGGTACAGTTCAATCGCCGCCCGACAGGTGCGGCAGTCCCTGAAGGTTGACCTGAAGGCGGACCCGATTAGAGGCACCTCTACTGTCAAGATATCGGTCGGCAAGAAGACGGGCGCCGCCGCCGAGAAGTGATGATCGGTTCCCATACGAAGACTAGAGTAGATAATCAACACATGTATCGCAATTATGGGATCAATTGTTTGCATGCATTACCACTAAAACACACGTGTATTTCCAAAACTGATGATTATTTAGTGTTTTAATTATAATTAATAGGTTTTAAAAGTAAATTAAATGTAATAATAAATTGATTAAAAGTAAATCCAATAGTAATTGTGTGTAAAACACGTTATTTATTGAGCGAACCGTCAGTTTGTATTAATTTTACGCAAAAAAACGTTTTGTTTATGTTTTTTGCGGTCACTTTTGGGACCAGACTTTCGGTGATATTCACTCCGCAGACCAGTCTCTCTGTGTCACCACTCGGTCGGTGAATGTGCGGCCCGTTATAGTTACCAATAATCACATCCAGACTCTCTCTCAAGACATGGCCGACGCGGCGGACGACGACTTCGAGTTCCAGTTGGCTCAGGAGGAGAGGGAAAGGGAGGCCAAAGCGGCGGTGAAGACACGGGTGGACCCGACGGACGGCACGGAATACGAGTGGAACGAACACATGAAGGCCTGGTTCCCGAAGATCGACGACAACTTCATCGCCCAATACCAGAGCCAATACGGGAACTTCGAGGACAACAACAACGCCGACACTACCGCTACCACCG